TTATCTTCATATTTACGAATTTTAACTTTCTTAATTAACAATTTCGAGATAAAAATATTCACATCATTATTTAAAAATTTTAAAGTCTTTATCAAATTTGTACAATTTTATCCTTATATTCTCGCAAAATAAAATCGAAGTCAAAATTTATAGAGATTGACCAAATCGAAGTCACCTTTGTTCTTTTTAGACCGCCTTTATCGATGAATCCAATGTCGATACCTAACCTAAATCCATCCTCGCCGTAAGGAAAAAGCAAAGGATACTGTAGAGGGAGGTAGGATGGGTGCAGCTCACTTATACGCTGAAACCCTCCAGAATTAGCCTGAAGCACTACATCACGCGGTTTAGGATTTATATCTCCCACGATAAGCCCAGCAACCTCGTCAGTCGTAGGTATATTTTGGACTCTACCGTCACTATCTCGATGATTTTTCAAAATCAACTTAAAGCCGCTGGTATCTTCACATTGTGCTAATCTATCTCTAGCTGATCTAAACGCGATGACGTGTGGGTTGTTAGCATCTAACATATCCTTCAAAGTCTTAATGATACTCTTCTTTATTTGCTTACCCGGTCCTTTCTCGCTAAAACAATTAAAAACAACAAAAAACGGAAATTAATTCGTGGACATAATATAAAAAATATATTACAATAAACAACTCACCCCATAACACCCATCCTATTCGAGACTTCGTTTACGGTATCATGAATATAGAGCTGCGAGAAAGCAGGACTTTTGGAAGGGCCAGGCAAAAGTTCACCGATGCGATGATAATTTTGACCCTGCATGCGAAACACATACGGTGCATTCCCATGGTTCACGGAATTATCAATTTGACCACCAAGCGACGTGAATGGAGAACATCATATTGTATGCTCTAATTAAAGCACGGAAATTTTTGCTTCTCTCATCCTTGCCATACAACATCGACATAAGCACCGGTGGAGGATTTTTTAGTTTAGGCAGCTCCACTTTACCCTTCATGCAACACGTAGAAAATATAGGCCTATTTTTAGCTCCACGTTTGTTAATATGCTCGCCAAACCACATATAAGCACCGCAATTTTGACAGGTATAAAACGGATCTCCATCATCAAAATAACCTGACACAAGAAGCACTCATGTACACAATAATATCAATTATATTTTTTAAAAAATTATAAAAAAAACAACCATAGTAAGTACCGTTTTCTGTTAATCCAGGTTTCACATTTATGATCGGTATGGATCCAAACCCTTCCTGTTCCATAATACACTCATCGGCGTTATCGAGATGTTCAACAAAATCATAATCCATTGCATTATCGTCGTCTGTTTGGTCCTCCCTATCACCATGATCAGAATCCGAATCGGTTGCGAGGAAATGCACGTAATCATCTTCGTAAATCGGCAACACCAACCCTTATATATAACATTTTTTTATTTGTTAATCACACGTACAATTTCGAGAATAAAAACTTAATATAAAAGGCTATCGTACCGGTTTCTGGTGGTCTTGTCCTCGCTTTTATCCGTCTTGATTTAAGTATTGCTACACGGCGCGCTCTCGCACGACAACAAACATCCTTAGGAGGTCGTGAATTCAATAACGCACGTAATTCATCAGATATCATGTTTTCATATGCCGCGATAACACGTGTTCGATTAATCGACTCCATGCCTAGAAATTATGAATATATATTAATCACAACGGAAAATATAATATGTCACTACAACTTAATTACGCGTGTGTGGGCGTTTTTATTAATCAAATTAATAAATCATGTGAGATAAGGGATTGTTTAGGTGCTAGTGTAAGAAAATATGGTAAATTGTTTAGGTTTTAGTGTAATAAAATATGGTAAATGTTGAAATTAAAAAATTCAATAAAATTATAAATGCTAAGAAAATAATAATAAATCATCTTCTAAACAAAATTGCAAGAAAATAAGAAATCAACGAACATCATCACTCCATGGCATTCTCCTTGCGTGTGATGATAGGTACTTGGTCGTTTTCAGGATTCCTGACATCCAATTTAGAACACCATAAACAGTAAATGTTCAGTCGCCAACTTTAGAGTTTTGATTGTAAACGGGGAAAAAACAAAAAATACTTACCAACAAAGCATTTCGTCGGTAATACTGAGATTCGGATTCAACATAATCCTCGTACATCCTGAAACGTTGGTACATCTCCACCTACGTTCCTGTGATAGCTCTAATTTCACAAACCTGATAATACATATCACTGTGTTACGTGAACGACGCTTCCATAAGTCATAGAACTCGACTGCAAGGTCACCTGTCAAACTATACTCTAGATGGATACACCTAATTTTAAGATTTGAAGAAGTCGTAAGACTTTATATTCTGGTTTAAATCTTTAAAAAATAGTGACTTACTCAGTATCACGTAAACCAAAGTACAACTCAAAATATCCTCCGTGAGAATGTTCCACGGAAGGAACAAAAACCAACTCTCTCACGTTGACAACTTTGCCAACAACATCTATGAAACACACACATGAATAATACAGTCAGAACATGAATCGTAAATAAACTCCAAAAGCACAAATAAATACATAAATTAGGCTTACCAACGCAAATATTCGGGTTAACAATACCACTCAATATACTCACAAACTCAGTTAGATTGAAATAGGTTCTACTGGAGCACATATTAATACTTTGCACTAATGTGTCCAAACGAAACACAATCTTGAATCTATGCGGTACTGGTCTCAAGATGCTGTTAACCCGTGATACATCAAAATTTTTAATGCTCACCCACTCATCGACTATCAATCTTGAAAAATAATTATCAATTAATTCATCAC